AACAATAAACGGAGAAAACAAAAAACCCTTAAAATTCGTACAACGTTGCCAACAAAGGCCATACGTTTACAAAAGATAAGGATACACGCTCTAGAGCGACCGTCAATAAGGCACTAGCCTGTAAAAAACTATGAAAAAACGAACCGGAATAAACCAAAAAAGGACACGCGCTATAAAGTGCTAAATATCGTACGTGAACCGCTATAAAGCGACAAGGGTCACACACGAACCGCTACAAAGCGCTAAACAGCGTACGTGAACCGCTATAAAGCAACGAGAGTCGTCCGTGAACCGCCAAAAAGCGCTACGTGGAATAGCGCGAAAAGCTAGGCAATAAAGTACCAATGCCTGAATAACGGCTCTAAACACGCGAGCTGGCGTCCAAATAAATAACAAGTACAGGAGCGCGAAAACCGAAAGCGCTAAAAGTAGTAGGGAACCCCAAGTGGGAATCGTCAAAAATACCTGACGGGTCAGAAGATTCTGTGATTCGGGAAACCGAATCCCGAGGGTGACCTAGAGGAAAGAGGTAAGGCCAAAAACTAGCAGAAGGCCATTTGGGGGCGATAAGCGTACCGCGCGCGCGAGACGTTTCCAAATGCGCTAACGTACGCGCGACAAGAAAGACTGGGGGAACCAGATAGTTGTTAACGCCGCCCCAACTGGCACTAAAAGCGTCCACGCCTTCGCAACCGGGACACCAGAACTTAGAGTAAAAACGCTCGCACTTAGCGGAAAGAGAGGATGCGAAACGATCGACGTCAAAAGGACCAAAAATACTGCTAACATGTTGGAAGAAAATAGTAGAAACAACCCAATCATCATAATCAACAACGCGACTGACCGAATCCGCGTGAGAGTTGAGTGAGCGTGGGATCCACTCAACTTCAAGTGAAATATCATGTGCGGCACAATAGGCGAAAATTTCGAGAGCTAAAGCATGCAAACGAAGGCTGTTGCTGCCCTTGGCGGAAATAGACGCCGCATTCTTACTATCCGTAAAGACCTTGACCACTTTGCCCGTAAGGGAAGCCCGAAACGATTTCAGGCCGTGAAGAATGGCTAACAATTCCCTGGCGTTACTATCTAAACCGGACTCCAAAGAGGAAAACGCTTGAAAGAAAAGATCAAACTCCTCGCTATCAACGCGGAAGGCACACCCACCGCAGGCGAAACTGCTGGCGTCGGAAAACACGAGAGTCACGGGAAGCGAATATCTGGTGAGAGACCTCCCATTGAGTCTGGCACAGTTAGAAAGCCAGAAATCAATTTCCTGAAGGCATTCGGAGAAAAACTGATAGGACCTAAAATCCAAAGGACAATCCCACCCGCTGTGAAGTTTGACGAATGATTGGAGGAATCTGGACATAAGGAGTGTAATGTTGCCATAACCAGGGGTGAGGGAGTTAATCTGCCCTGTAACAGAGGCAACCGCGCGTGGGGTAACGGAGCGAGACCCAGATTTTAGTGATAGGAGCGCCCTAAGCAACTTGACGATGCGGCGGCGAGGAATAAATATGCGGCCACGCGAAAGATCCCAGACAATGCCCCACCATTCTAAAACCTGGGTAGGAACCCAGATAGATTTCTCCTCATTGGCGACAACGCCCGCGTTGGCCAAATCAGATCTAACAGCCGAAGCAGTACTCTGAGCTACCGAAAAATCTTGTCTAAATACAAGACCAAGGGTATGCCCCGGGAGCGCCAATGCTTAACTAACGGCCTAAAAACCTTTGTGAACACGTAAGGCGCTGACGAGAGACCGAACGGGAGCACGGCGAAAACAAAAAACCTGGGCTCTACAGAGCTACCGAGGGGCCACTGAAAACCTAAAAATGTTTGAGATTCCTCATGAATGCTTACATGGTGATACCCAGACTTAATATCGAATTTAAACATATAACCTGGCGAGTGTACGTAATTAAGAAAAGTCCTACTATCCTCCATTTTAAACTTAACTTTGGGAATAAACCTATTGACGTGACGGAGGTCGGGAATAAGGCGGCACTTTCCCACAGAGCTAACGAATACCGTTAAAGGATTGACGACCGTGGGAGGCGTAAAAACTTCGATACCAGAACCCGCAAGAAGCAGATCAGAAATAGCACTGTCAACAAAACTGACGTGATCTAAGGCAGACCTATTGTTACAGAAAAAAGCTCTAGGAGGCCATGAAATAAAAGGAATGCGATAACCGAAACGGATGATATAAAGAACCCAAGGGGAGGAACCGATACTAACCCAAAAATCAACCTTGCTCCTGAGCCTATCCTTATAAACTATGGGCGCTGACCCCTGCTTATACTCAAAACCACGAGAGGACAAACATTGTTCGTATTCAGAGTCGAAACAGTACTTATCTTGTGAGAGTAAGTCAGCAAACTCCTCCTCCACACGGGCGTTGACATCACCCGCCTTCGAGCCAGAAAGCGAAGCTGAATAATGAACGCCTAGGGTGCCGGAAGCCTCCTGCTGTAAAGACGCCATAAAAGAATTTTCAGGGACGGTTAACGGCGCCTGTGGAACTAGCTGGCAGCTGGCTAGATGAACAGCCGACGTGAAACCTTGCGAGGCGGACCGGGCACTCCTTCCACCAGAGGCCTGAAGAACCGCAGTATCGACAAGGCCCTCGGGTGAATTCACGGTTAGTGGTGAAACTGTGTTGGTTTGTCGAAGAGGAAGCGAACGGCTGTGAAGATTGCCAAGAACGCTGGCTCCCGTTGAACTGCCTTGAGTAAGGGGAGAAGAAAGGTTGAGCTTGACGATTTCGGACCGCAAATCCCCCAACATGACGCTTCTTTCTTTGTCGAGCTTGATCCCTCAAAGCCTGCCTCTCTGCAGCGCGAATTTTCTTGTCGTCGTCCTCGCTCAACGAGACGGGATTAGATTCGTAGTGTTTAACGGTCAACCAACCGGCCTCGGACGAATCCGCGATCCGTATCTTGCGGTTACGTTCCTGTAATAGTTCTACGGTATCGTCAAGAATTGAAAACGCCTCAGACTCGGGAGGTAGATCGGCCAAACGATCCTTAAGTGAAACAAGATTGGCTAACACTTGACCGTTAAATTTGAAATTACGTTCGTTGCCGGTGTGATTAAACTTGATCTCCGACTGTTCCTTCAAAGAATTAGAAGCAGAAAGGGCAGCTGAGGCAACCTCTTGCGATTTCTGTACCTCGGACGAAATAACTGATTTGTGAAGGGCGAGCTGACTAACAACGAAATCTTTGAAACTAGCAAGATCTTGCTTTGTAACGGGCTCGTCTCCCATACTACAAAATTAAGCTCGGCAAGGTGCGAGCGGTAAAACGGGCTGTGTCGAGTGACTAACGCGAGAGGCGACAAGGCTTAAATACCGAGATGTGACGTAAAATCCCTAGAGGATCAAACTGCGGCCATAATGCAAATTCCGAACATAAACACATTAAGTCTCTTAGTATATTTGTGTTTAGAGTTAACAGAAACTATTGGTTAAATATTCTTTTAATTTTATTTTACAAAGCGCGAAGAATCAGAGATAACTGGTAAAACTTGTTTTGCTATAATCTTCTTAGGTCATCATACTAGAGATTAATGATGAAAAAAGAAAACCACGGCGAGAGGCGGTGATAAACATGGTAAACCAAAACTTTTTTTCTATAAACCTAACGAAAACTATGCCTCATTTTCAAAATTAATTGTGTTAATATCAAAATTTCAAAACGATTTCAAAATTGTCTAACTTTGGCTATCACACCCTAATATCCGAACAGTACGCGTCCCAAAAATCCAGATTTTTTGAATTTTCGTGCTAGCCGGAACAAACATTTGAAATAACTTGATTGAACTATACAGCAGTTGCCTGCTGCTCTGATCTTCTTCTGACTTCCAACACTTTCCCCTAAATTCAGCGTCTTCTCTTCACGGTGGAGAAATGGAAAGAAACGTTGCTCTTTAACTAGTGGTTGTTCATGCTGTAACCACTTGTCAACTTTAAGTTATCTGGAATTTGATTCAAGATCATTCAGAAGACAATTACAAATTCTCAAGAGCTGAGAAGCGCGCTCCAAACCCCAGTGGGGGGGGGGGGGGGATGCTACGGATTTCATGTGACAGAGATGATCAAAGGATTTTTTTCGGTTTCAAAATTTCGATTTCGGGATTTGTTTGGGTAGGAAAATTTTAGCAAGTATTTATTGGGCAGCTTGATTTAAGTGGGATTGTTTTGGGTATTCAAAACAATCTGAAGATTCATGATAGTTATATCATCATACTGTAGAATGTGGATGAAACTAAGAAAGCATTTTTTTACATTGTAAGAAAAAAGTCTCTTTTCATTCGCATCATGAGAAGTTAGAGTCTTCTATAAGTGGTCACGTACAAATAAGTAGTAAGGCCCGGTTCAGACTTCGAACTTTGCATGAGCCGAACCTAATACATTAAATTAAGTACATGAAAAGTTCGGCGTCTGAATCAATTAGGAACGCCTGTTTCAATTTGGAACTGCTCAAACGTTTTTTTTTTGCCTAGCCTGGCCGGGAATTTCGCCTTTGGAGCGACTTTGGAACAGCTTTGATTCAGACGCCGAACTTTTGATGTACCTAACCTAATGCATAAATTATTATGACGTGCTTTCTAACCAGTTTGACCGCAATGAGCATTTTTCTCCTTCTGAATTTAGTTCGGCTCGAATTAAGATCGGCGTCTGAATCAATTCAGCGGGTCCAAATAATTTGGGTCGGTCTTAATTCGAATTAGGTTCGGCTCATGAAAAGTACGGCGTCTGAACCGGGCCTAAGACTTTCATTTAAATCGCGTTTTTCTTTCACCGAAGAATTAAGACAGAAGCTGTTCTTTCATCGTTCATTCCATCATGACAATCATATACATCGAACGAAACACAAGTATGAAAGCAACATGCTTTAAACAAAACCTCTTAGAGTTGAAAACTTAAAAATGTTTTCAAAGCACCAAAAGACAAACAAAAGAGAACTTAAAAGGACCAAAATGTTTTTTTAACT